GAGCTCAGCAGAGGCACAAGGAAAACCCCAGGTAGCGGCCTCATGGGTAGTAAGAGTGCGCTCTCCTTCACCGAGGGCAGGGAAGAACGCAAGTGTTCTGGGCAGATGGCCTCACGGGCCTAGCTTTCTGGGCTCTGATTGCAGAGCCCTGAGCAAAAACTGTGACTTTGTCCTTCAAGAAGGTCGTTTGTTTTATAGGAAATGTTTTTGGTGGGCAGTTGAACTGAAATCAGGGAATTGTGTATGCTGGGCAAAACACTGAGCTTTGTCCCCAGCAGTTTTGATTTAAACTCTCTTAACGGGTAAGCCATCTCTTCAGTCTCAAGTTTCTTATTAAAAGCATTACTTATTACTGAGGGAAGGGGCACAAAGTCCATGGCATGTGTACAGAGGTCAGAGAATGACTCTGAGGAGTCAGTTCTCTCCTCTCAGCTTTACGTAGGTTCCAGGGATCAAAGACTGCCAGGCATGCACAGCAACTGTTTTTACTGGATGGGCATCTTGCTGGTTCTGCAGGAACTTCTTGATGAAGACATCCCAAATTCCACCCAAACTGTTTAGCAAGGGATGCAGGGATGCTCTGCCCACGTTGGTTAAGAACAGGGTTACCTGCTTCCTGCCAAAGCCACAGGCTGGGTGGACTCAACCTGGATCCAGGTGAAGCCTTTATTGAGGCCTTTTCAGCTTCTGGCAAGATGCTGGGAAATCTGGGGGCATGATCAAGTGAGGGTGCAAAGCCAAGCCCTGGAAGAGCTGTCAGCCTCAGCCAAGCATGAGGATGTGCTGAGGGGCTTCCCATCTAAAGCAGTCTGAGGAGACTGGGAAAGTCAGAAGACTGCACCAACCGGGAGGAGACAAAGCAAGGGCCCACACCTTGCAGGGTCATTCCAAAGGTTACGTTCCTCTCATAAATGCCACCCCCTTCTGAACAGAGTTTCAGACATCTCAGGGATGGCACTAGGTTTCACACAGGGGCAAACACAGAACGGGCTCAGTGAATGTGTGTTCACAGGGGAAACCATCACTTCTATTGGAAGGGCTGAGAAATGGCTCTCTTGGGCACTGGGAAGGTCTAGCTTCAGGAGGCAGGAGAAGACTGGAGGAAGGCCTTGTGGTACTGTCATACAGAAGGCTCTGCAAGCCTTGGGTCGTAGCAGTGGCAGCAGCAGGGATGGCTCCTAACATGACAGAAGGACACAGCATGTGGACACATTTCATACTCCCCGAGGCCTGGAGAGTGGGTGCAATCGAGGCTTGGAGACCAAGGCAAAAGAGACGTAGATCACCCTAGATTGCCCTAGATCACCAAGTAAGGCTGCAGTGAAGCCAGACACATTCTGAGCCCCAAGGGGGTAAAAGTAGTTTCCTGACGTCAGCACTTTTCTTCATAGGACTGCGTGGTAGTGGTGGTGGCTGTCATCACCCTAGAGAGGGTTGAGATTCTGAATCTGTCCTTCAGACTGCTGGTGAACAGACTACAAACATCCACACAGGCTGCCCCATTGAGCTGCACACGCACACACTCACTGTTGAATAAGAAGGTTGGTTTTTGTGTGTGTGTACATATATATATTTTGTATACCAGGCTGGCCTTACACTGTTGATCCTCTTGTCCCAGCATTCTAAGTGTCAGGAATGCCAGGGTGAACTAACAATTCAGCTTTAGGAACTAGGGTCCCCAGCACTCGGGAGGCAGAGGCGGGAAGATCTCTGTGAGTTCAAAGTCAGCCTGGTCTACAGTGCGAATTCCAGTATAGCCAAAGCTACATTAAAAACAAAACAAAACAAAACAAAACAAAACAAAACAAAACAAAACCCTGTCTCAAACAAAAAACAAAAAAGAAAAGAAAGGAAAGAAAAAAATAAAAGAACAAGGGTCCTTTGTAATGAGCGCTGGAGGACCCATGAACCCATGACTCATTCAGAAATCACCCCTGTCCACTGTCCACTGCAGTATCATGGCTCTCCCAGGAAGGATGTTCTCCAGAATGGAAGTGTAAGGGACCCAGGAGGTAACATCTTCCTCTAGGAGGTCCTGCGGGAGTAGACTTCCGTGAAGGGGTGCAAAAGGGTAGTAAGTGTGCTCAGACAGCCCAACACATGGTTCATCTGGACATCACTGACGCAGGAGTCAGTGCTGAGGTGGCCAGAGCACAGAGGGCTGGAGGACTAAGCACACAGTGAAGAATAACTGTCTAGGGGCCGTACCCAAGGCCAGTACTCACAACTAAACCAGGAGCCTGGCTGAACAAGCCACTTGAAAAGAACCGTGGCTGGGGCTGGAGAGACGGCTCAGGTTAAGGGCACTGTTTGCTCTTCCAAAGGTCCCGAGTTCAATTCCTGGCAATCACATGGTGGCTAACAACCATCTATCTATACTGGGATCTGACACCCATTTCTGGCATGCAGGTGTACATGCAGCTAGAGCACTCACACAGAAGAGAGAGAGAGAGGTTGCTACCTGGGTATAGGCCTCAGGAGAGGGCTGGTCCAGTTAGAACAGGGCCTACAAAACAACTGAGAACCATGCCTCCAAAGACCATGGTCCAAGTAACCCAAATACACCTTGTACAGAAGTGGGCTGAGCCTCATGGCCTTGCGTGGGGGTTTATGGAATCCAAGCTTCCTCAGGAAACACTTTTCACTTTGTGGCACCGAGGAAGACACGAATACCATCAGATAACATACCACCGTGAATGTGCAAAGATACCAAACAATGTCAGGTAGGACAAGTGTCACAGCAGCACTTAGACACCTGGCTGCAGGCCACCTCCACTCTGTGATACGAGTGTCTTACAAAGCTACTATCACACTCCCGACTGCCAACACACAACAAAGCCCCCCATGTGCACCCTGCATCACCAGCAGGAGATGTTTCAGTGCTATACTCCTGTATTTTTAGCCACCTTCTCAGACTCTTTCCAATTTTATCCAGTAATGTCCTAATGACTCCACCTCCCCTGACCTCTCACTGGATGAAGCTGTGAAAAAAATGAGGTGGTTTCCGTTGGGCTTGAACTGGGTTTTTCGTCTTAAAGACTTGGATGTTGCTCACGCCTCTTCAGAGTAGGCTTTCTCCTCAGGGGTTAAGGGCTTTCCTGCGTGTCTGTACACTGTGCTCTGGAGTCCTCCAACCCTGACACCCAGCCACCCAGCCTCTCCCGTGGGCGCTTGCACCTGTGGGTCCAAAGCTGACATTCTACCAATGATGTGACACAATGTGGAGTGGCTTTTCTCACTTAGCCAAGGTCCAGAGTCAGGGAAAGGATGGCAGCTGCTTCAGCTCCATTTCCATTAGCTGTCCTCTGCATTCCTCCCACAGGACTAAACTAGTAACTGCTCCCTCTTCTTCCTGCATTTACAACCCTTCCTAGCAGGCTATGGGTCCCTCCGACAGTCTCATTAACTACAACCCAGCATGGGATGCAGGAATCTTAGATCCCTACCGGGCATCTAAGGCCAAGGCGCCAGTCTCTCAACACTGCCTTGCCCACCGCCGACCTTGTGCCACGTGTCGGCTACTCTGGGATTCACCACAGAAGGTTGCTCTTCTATCAGAGCCTCCCTCAGATGTGATGCTCCCCTGGGCATACCCCAGTGCAGCTGCCACCTCCTGTCAGGGTATTCTGCTCTTACTAAAGCTGCTATGTATAAGCTGCCAGTTGCCAATGTAAGTTAAGCTCCAGAGAGGACCCACATTTGTCTCAATGAAGAAGAACACAGTAAACACTTACTCAACAGATATCTAGAGCCAGGCGTGAGCCAAATACTGTGCAGAGATTAAAGTCCACTAACCCTTACCACAGACATGGGAGGCCAAGTGTTTGGACCCCCTGTGCATTGCAGGCTGCGGACCAGAATTTAAAGAGCTAAAGAAGCTGTTCCAAGGGCACCCTGGGAATAAAGACAGCACTGACTTCAGGCTAGCAGAAACTCCAGCTCCCAGCTCCCTGGCAGGTGAGAATGGGTTGAATGGACAGTACTTCTCTCAAAGCACTGTTATATCCCCAGCCACACCGGGGTGGGCAACTCTGGTAGAAACCTGTGTGGTGATTTTGGACTTTATGGCTAGGGCTTATAGAGCTCAAAGCCAGGATCCCAGCTGGGAAGGCACTGATATTTCATTATAGTGTAGTTTGGAAAAGACATCCACTCCCCCTTCACACTCACGGAAACAGTTTATTTATTTACTTATCTTAAAAGACAGAATCTCACAGTATATAGCCTTGGCCAGGCTAGAACTTAATACATAGCCCAGACTGGCCTCAAACTCACAGACACCCACCTGCCTCCACTTCCCCGGTGCTAAAATCAAAGGTGTAAGCCGCTATCATGGCTAGTTTTATGTCAGCTTGATACTTCCTACAGTCATCCGAGAAGAGGAAACCTCAATTTTAAAAAATGCTTTCATAGGGTCAGGGTGCAGGCAAGCTGGGGAAGGGCCCAGTCCAATGTGGGTGGGGCCTCCCTTGGACTGGTGGTTCTATAAGAGAGCAGTCTGAGCAAGCCATGAGGAGCAAGCCAGTAAGCAGTACTCTTCCATGGTCTCCAAATCAGCTCCTGCTCTCAAATTCCTGCCCTGTTTTGAGTTCTTGTCCTGATTTCCTCTAATTGATGGACTACAATGTGGAAGGATATGCCAAATAAACCCTCTCCCCCTAGACTGTTTTGGTTTTTTTGGTTATGGTGTTTCATTTCAGCAGTAGAAGCCATACCGAAGACAGTCATCACACCTTTGATCCAGTGAAGGACACAAGGAGTCCAGGAGGAACACAAAGGCACTCTGAGCTCCTATTTTTAAAAACCCAGGGATGGTGACAGACACACGCCTGTAACAACAGTGCTCAGGATGAAGTAAGGGAATTTCCAGTTCAAGGTCAGCCTAGACCACACAAGGTGACCCTGCTCATAAAAACAAAACTCAATACCTGCCAACCAACATCAAATGGCTCAAACGCCAGAGTGATACAGATGGGGAGTGGACTCCCATCAAGCCCTACCTGTGTGAGGACGTCCAGCTGGCCCACAATGTGCTCAAGTGTGCTGGTCAATGTCTCGGGCATGCTGATGTGCTCCTGGGGCTGGCTCTGCATTGACTCCAGACTCTTGTCTCTGCCTGGTGGGCCAGGCAAGTCCATTTCTGGCTAAAGACAGAAAGAGAACAGTCCTTCAGCCTATTTAGTAGTTGAGGCAACAGGGGAAGGATTATCTGATAAGCCAGGAAAGCAGAGGAAAAGGCTCCTAAGTGTCAGCAGGGAACAGCAGTGAAGCAGGACACACACCAAGGTCCACATGCCTGTCTTCCACAGCAGAGACTGAGAAGTGGAGCTGAGTGCTTGGCAGTCCAGACTAGATGAGGCCTGGGCAAAGGGGTAGGTGGACCCCTGGGTGCCCTTAGATAATTCTCAGAGGTCCCCAGGGAAGCTGGTCCAGCTCTCAACTCTTCACTCTCAACCATCTAGGATGCATCTTGTGGAAGCCAAAGACATGAAGACTGCATGGCCCCAAAGTCCCTTTTCCCCAGACAGCTTGACTCCAATTCCACCCTCCCAACACAGGCTCCTCTGAGCTTCACTAACACCTTCCTAAGGGCCCAGCAGCTGTGGCCCAGAAAGGAGAGGGGATGTTCCAACCCTGTCCTGTCCCGGATCCCCTGCAAAAACAAAGATCTCTGTGTGACTGTTCTGCCCAGATGGCTGGCAGGGGCCAGAACCTTCAGGATAGCCACAGCTGGCTTGTTTCAAACAGGACTCCAGGAATGGGAGGTACTTGAGTTTTTATGACTTGAAGGGTCACTGAGCCCCCAGGTCATAAAAGTTGAGCCCCTCTCTGTACTCAGATGAAGGCTTCTCCTGGCCCAGGAAGCAGCCTGTGTGTGCTGAGCAGCAGAAGTCCCTGAGCAAGGGTGCCTGGGGACAGGTCCCTATGCCCGCAGCACCACTCTACACTAGTGATGGCCCATGCTCTGGGCCAGTACCCCAGCTCTGATGACCCCCAATGTCTCATGGACATTCCAGATGTCCCCTGACACCCTCGGGCTCTGTCCAGTCCAATCCACCTCCTTCCACACCCCGCTCTTGCTCTGTGCCCTGGCACTCATGCCACATCGCACTCTCCTCTCCAGTGGGTGCTCTCTTGCACCTGTCCTCCTCCCTCTGCTCAAAGCACCCTGCCCTCCCCCATCAGGAGCTCCTCTTCCTCTGCCCCTGCATACCTGAGCCTCCTTCTTCCCGCCCTGTTCCTCTAGCCACTTCACCCTCAAAACAAGGGCTGGAACATAGGCAGACAAATCAGGGCTTGCCTCTTTGCCAGCCTGTTACCCCTCTTTGCCTCCTGCTTGTACTCATCACTCCTTTCTCCACAAATCCAGGACACCACTAGGCTCAAAGCTTGTGAACCACCCACGCACCACAAAGCTAAGCCTACTGTACCCAGAAGCCACCCACCTCCCGGAGCCATAGGCAGTGGAGTATAATGGGTACAACATGACCCACCTAGGCTACCACCCAGCCCTGCCAGCACTGGGATGCCTGGAGCCCCACTATCAGCTGGGTGCTTACATCTGCCCTTGGCGTCTTCCCTCTTAGACTAATCCACAGCAATCCAGCCCTGGAGGATGTCTGGCCTGGACATGCTCACCTGGATTACATCAGTCCTTGAAAAGAAAGGACCCAGGAGAGGATTCAAGTGACAAAGGAGGAATGCAAGGGCAATTCAGGCATGTGGAACCTACGTGAATATTTTTCTTTATTAGGAAAGAATTCTGATCTTATAAACCACAAACTCTCAAGGACATATTGATGTGAACTTGAAAAATGCCGGTTGTGGTGGCCAAAGAACTTAAAAGTGAGATATGAGTCAGAGGGACATGCTTGACAGTAAAATCAGTGTCGTGCCCACAGGCTCACTGTTGACATTTCTGCCGTGTAGTGTGGCCAGTTCCCAAGCTCTTGGCTATCAGGACGCGGCCTCTTCCAGCCCCTCCAGGGATCAATGTACTCCAGATCTCAGTGCCTACCTAGGAGCCCATTCCATAAGGAAACATCTCAGAAGCCTACCAGCCTTGCCAAGAAAACTTGGACCCACTACAGTGATCCCCAGGCTTAGACACTTCTGTCACAGGTGAGAAAGGAGAAGCCAGATGGGCCCTGGTCCTACCAATGACCAGCTAGTGCCTCTACCTTCTCACCTGTAAAATAGGGTCAATGAGTTTCGATGAGCTCATTTGAAGTCACCATCAAGCCTTGAAAAATATTCTTATCCTGTGAGCACTCCCTTCAGACAGACACACTCTTCCACTAGGCACGAGTCCACCAGAACAGCCTGAGAGAAGGTTACAGGCTTACACACAGACTAGTGTACTCGCACACACTGACAGCAACCATCTTCGTGGGGACGGCCAGACTGGTGCTGCCTGCTGCCCAGGGAAGGAGGGAATGGAAATTCTGAGTGTTTTTGCAGAGCAGCCCAGAAGCTGCCAGAGACAGTGGAGGATGAGGTGGGGGTGGGGAGTGAGCGCCAACTTTAGCAAGCTCCTTCTTAGCCACGGCTGAGCAGATCCAAGGGAGCAGCAAGGACTGGAGTCACAGTGCTCCAAGCTGGGGAAGTGGCTTCAATCGAGAACTGTGTTTCCATGGATACCATGCTTTCATATGGGCTCTCTTCATGTCACAACAAAGGAAACTGAGGAAAGAAATGCAATCCTGGCGCTTGGAGGCTAAGAGGGCTGTGAAGGCCGGGGTAGCCTGAGCTACATATGGAAACCTGGGGTGGCTGGGAGACAGCTTAGTGAGGAGAAGTGCTGGCTGAGTTTAATCCCAAACCATGGTGGAAGGAAAGAACTGACTAACCAGACGTTGTCCTCCACCCTCCATGCACAGACTAGTGCTCGCACACATACTCAACAGTAACAAATAAAATGAAACAAATATTCTGAGACAGGGTTTCTCTGCATAGCCCTGGCTGTACTGGAATTCCCTCTGTAGACCAGGCTAGCCTCAAACTCCCAGAGATTTGCCTGCCTTTGCCTCCTGAGCGCTGGGATTAAAGGTGTGTGCCACCACTACCTTTACTGGCCTAAAAATAAATTTATAATTAAAAAAAGAAATACATACATACACATATACGTATATGTATATATATATGTATATATATACCTATATACATATGTGTGTGTGTGTGTGTGTGTGTGTGTGTATATATATATATATATATGAAGAAGAAAACAAAAGGAGAGAAAATTAACAAAGAACCTGGGGTTTCTGGAAGCTGAGCATGGTACCTGTAACCCCAGCACACAGGAAGCTGAGACAGGAGGATCACGAATGTGAAGCCAGCCTGGGCTACACAGTGAACTTAAGGCCATGGTCTGGACTGAAAGAACAAAACCCCAGCCCCATAGCACTGAGGCTGGCCAGGCTGACCACTGCTGTTTCCCTGCCACCTACTGCAAGCCCAATTTAATGTTACCTCACTCAATCCTTGGAGGCCCTTCACAGAAGGGGTTGTTCTGTTATTTTCTAAAGAGAGGACACTCAGGCTAAGTGTTCTTTCAGAAAAGATCACGCTGGCAGGTTATAGTACTTGCTCGAAGCCACCTGACTGAGATCTAACCTCAAAGCACAAATTTCCTGGGCATCGGGCAGCCTGGGATAGGTGACAGGTCACACTGGCTGCAGGGGGACTTCTACGTGCGCTTTCTCCTTATATCTCTATGGCGACCACTAGCTCCCCTGGGCCTAAGAGTTTCTGCATCACTGTCCTCCCAGTCTGTCCTGGGATGCCTGCCCAGCTGAGAACAGAGGTCCTCCACAAATCCTTGATGCCCAACCCACAGGAGTGGTGAAATTCCTGTGACAGACTCTCCTCAGTATCTGCACTGCAGCAAAGGGGCATAAGCCCTGCCCCGCAGCCCTGCAGTCACTCACCTGCACTCCAGCATCCAAGAGCTGTGGCATTTCCTGTGAAGCCTGGTGACTAAGCACAGGCAGACATGGGAAAGCTAAGTGCCACAGTGAGAAGTGGCAGGGCCCTGAGGAATGACAGAGTGACCACAGCAGTGTTTAAGAGGCCCGATCACAACAGTTTAACCTAAAGTCTCTTAGGGGCTTTAGTGGATCTCGGGTGTGATACTTCTTCTTGGAGTCATCGGGGGTGACCTTTGGTCATGACTGTGAGGTTTTTCAAAGGCGTAACAGAAGAGGAGCGACCCACCCTGAATGTGGGTCACAGGTTGGGGTCCTGGGCTGAGTAAAAAGCAGAACTGAAGCCAGGCGGGGTGGAGCACACCTGTAATCCCAGCACTCAAGGGAGTGCTCAGAGGTAGGCAGGTCTCTGTGAGTTCAAGGGTAGCCTGGACATCCAGGACATCCAAGGCTACACAGAGAAACCTTGTCTTAAAAAACAAAAATAAGAAAAAAAGAGAACTGAGCAGGACCCACCTCTTTCCGCTTCCTGACTCACAGATACATAGGACCAGCCCACCTCATGCTCTGCCACCATGCCTTCCCAGCACAATGGACTGTATCCTCTCAAACTGTGAGCCAAAATAAACCTTAACTTCCTTAACTTGCTTCTGCTGGGTACTTTTCTACAGCAGAAGAAAAGAAACTCATATATCCATAAGTAAACTCCCAAGAAAGATCAGCCCACATGTAGACTATGCCATTTACATCAAATAATTTAATACCCAAACCACAAGAAAGATGAATCTCCAAAGACACAGCTACTTAACTTTGTGAAAATTTCCCTTGGCACCTGTAGATGACTTTTCTCACATTACCCTGGAGTAGATTCTAGGCTCTCACAGTATGTTCACAGGGTGTCTGCCTAGGTTTCTGTTTGTCACTCCCTGTCATGTGCCACCAAGGGCTCCGCCTTTCACACACAGCAGAGACTGCATTAAAATCTCTATCTATGGCTAGTGTTCAGTTACCCAGGCACATGAGGAATCAAAGCATGAACTTTCATTAAAAAACAAACCTGAATAGCCTATAGGTCTTCCTTGACACAGAAATCACTCTGGGCTGACTTCCTGGCTGCTCTCTATGTTAGCTGACTATACAATGGGCCTAGGAGACTGAGAGTTGGGCAATCTCACCCTAACGAGAAAGAATCAAGCTTCTTTTCTCTTCCGTAGAATCTA